CCCCAAAACCCCAAAACCCCAAAACCCCAAAACCCCAAGCATAGAAAATAAGCTTATTCGAGAATTAATTAGGTATTATAAAAATAGTCTATTAGAATAGTGAATGCATGATAATTTGCTATTTTGCAAACTCAAATACTATATAATAGGCTTATCAATCTCTTTTTCAATAAAAATAATTTTTAGAATTCTTTAAGCCTAAGGTATGCATACATATATATAAAATGACAATGAGGAACCTTTACTCTCATAAAAATCATTAACTTAGTCTGAGACTATCATAAAGGAAAAGAGTTATGAAATTTATTAGGAGTATCAATGGATTTTTCAATATTATTAAGAGACCGATTACTCAATAGTTTCAAATAGATAGATTCCAATCATTTTTGATTCAAAAAAATAAAATATAACTTTGGAGAACTTCAATATCCTCCCCCATAAAAATTAAGTTCTAGTTCAATACAAAGGAGTTGAAAACTCAAGCTACTTAGACACATTCAACCTTTTGAGTAGAGAATTAATCTAAACTATTTAGTTTAAGGATTCAATTTCCTACTTTCATTATTCACGTTTCAATGATGTTGATTACATATTCTATTAGAAGAAATAATAGAGAACGATTCATTTACTGAGAATTGACGATTTAAATGATAATGAGGAAAATAATTTGATTAAGTTCATTTTTAAAGAGGAATTCGCTATCTATGATGCTTGGATTTTAGATGAATCTACTATCAGCATGAGATGTTTATTTTCAGATTAGATTATTCAACTTATTTTCAAATTAGACAAGTATGTCAGTTAAATAACTAAAGAATCTGAAATTTAATTTGACATCATATTTATCTCCCAGCTGAACTATGCTAAAGCAATATCTCAATAAAATGCAAAGATATTCGTAAAGGATTAGAAATAAAGTTTCTTTCAACTAGTTTGCGGATCCAATGATAGTTTAGATTACAATCTATTTAGGAACCATATACTCTTTCATCAAAATTCTAAGACCCTATTTATTAATAAAAATACTCTTGAGGTAGAAAATACTCTAGAAAAACTTTATTACGTAGTAAATCACTAAGGTTACTATGAGTATCTCATGGATTCTGAACTTAACCTCTTCACAGTCGATTAAGGTGATAATTTATAACTCTTGAAAATCCATTAATTCTCTAAAAATCGAATCTTTTAATTGAGCTAGGTAGTAACTTCTCCAAATAAGATATTTTTTTAGTACAAGCTAGAAACATTGATTCAAATTGTGTAAGTTTATGATGCAAGGACATTTAAATTACTTGATGAGATTAATGTACCCGAGATGACTAGAGTTCAGATAGATTCCAGCAATAATACACTCTACTTTTTGCTAAAAAATAACAAATTCAGATACTACAATCTTAACTCAAATTATGACTACTATCATACTGTTCAACCGTTATATTTTTTGAAAGAGTAAATTTTCCAAAGCTAGATTATAAAGAGTCTGAATAACTATCTTATCTATGAATTGAAATCTAAAGATTCAATAGTAATCCATGACATGTTTAGCGGGAAAACTCTTGAAATTGCTAAGGAGTACTATAAGACATGCATTGACTACCTTCTTTTTGATAAATAATTTTTAGACGATAGTGAATTTTATGAAAAAATAAAAATTCCTCTAGAAATTAAAAAGGCTATGGAGATCAAATCAGATGATAAGATTATCTCCTGCTCTGCCGATGGTTAGATATTTCTTAATAATAACAGAGTTATTTCTCTGGAGGACTTGAGAAAAAAATCTGACATTGAATATGAGAATGAGCCCCGATATTTCTGTCTAATGTCAAGTAAAAATAACGACAATGCCTATGTGCTTGATATCTCTTCCAAAAATAAGCTTGTCTATTTTGATAAAGCTGTTTAACAATTCAGAGTATTTGAATTGATTGATCCACTTCTTGATGAATATCCAATCAAAGCTATTCTTGAGAGGCCACTCCTTCTTTTATTAATACAATATGAAACTTAGCTCATTGGATATAGTCTAGAAACTGGATAAAGAATCAATGAAATATGTGGTACTGGTAAGACATCATCGATATTCATTGATAGAAATTATCTGTAAATAAGCTTTTATGATTGTAGGTATGTCTACTTTTTCAAAAATAGAAGGATTGATAAAATCTTACAAATTAAGTTTCCTGAAAATTTAGAAATCTTAGACAGCTTTTAAAATAGTATAAATCTAGTCAGCTAAACTATTTTAAAAAGAAAAGATAAGCCTGATAACTCTGAAATATATACCATGTTTGAAACATCTTTTGATTACATGAATATGTAACAATATTTTACCCAACCAATGTTTTTAGCCTTTTACTTTGAAAAAACTTTCAAAGTAATAATAGACTCAAGTAAAGTTTAAATTTTTGCAAAAGGTGATATTTAATAATCTGGTTTCTTTGATGTAAAAGTAACGGACTAACTCATTAATGATTATAGGTAAATCAAAAAGTTAGGAGAAAAATCTATAGATGATTTTAATGCTATGGTAAATCTAGATCTTAAAAGTTTATATCATTCGCAAACATCAACACTCACAAACAAAATGAATATCGAGATTGTTATTCATGAGATATGCACAGATGTAAATAAATATACTAAATTCATCGCTGGGTTTGGTACTTGTTTTAATTTGTTTTAAGATAAATTGATTATCCTTGAGCTCATTGTAAAATAACTTTTGACTAATTAGAGAGTAATTAACCAATATAAAAGTTAATCATTGCCTATCCTTATAACTCCAATAATGCTTGGGGAATAGTCTCCTTTAGATTTTGCAATTTAAAATAGGGAATAAAAAACAATAAATTTACTCCTTTCAATCTTACTAAAATACTAAAATAGCATGATATTCAACTAACTTGTTGATTAGAACTTATGCGCGCTACTTATACAAGAGACAGATTTGCAAGAATATTTTGAGAGCAACATGCCAAATTATCAAATTCGTGATCGATCTTTTCCAAATTAACACTTTGATGGACAAACAATTATTGCTGCTATCAATATTGATGACCCTAAAGATGTTCATCATTGTTATGATGAATTATTTGGACAGAAGCTATAAATTGCATCTGACTATGATCAAGAATATCATAATCCAATAGAGTACCATCTAATTAATTTGCCAAAAACTCTTTAATAAAACCCAACTGAATTAATGTAAATCTTAAGTGAAACCACAAAGCCAGAATATTTTGAAAATCATATCATTCAGACTATTATTAACTTTAAATGGCAATTATACACTCTTAGCTATTACAGGATTAAATTTTACATCTATCTGGTATTTATGGTAGCTTTTATCTTTGACGTCTTTTACTCAATTTACTCATCTAAAAGCACAGATGATAACGCTAAATAGACTGAAGACAAAGAATCATAACATGATCAACAGCCTAGTATCTTCCTTAAAATTACACCAAAAATATTATGCGGCTTGGTCTTGTTTTACTTTTCAATCCATTTGATAAGATAATTAATAATTAAAGGAGCTAGCTCCTTTTCAGACTTTTGGAATATGATAGATTCTTCTTTAGTTGTTTTTTACATTAGTTTTTGCTGTCTTGAATTTACATATGAAGACTCAGATTTACTAATCTTGAATAAGATACTGCTAATTATACTCTGCTTTATAAAGCTCTTCTACTATTTGAGAATATACGAAGGACTTAGTGCACTAATTCAGATTTTGACTGGAGTTCTTAGTGACCTAAAATATTTCTTCATCCTTTTCTTAATATTCATTTCTCTATTTGGAACGATATTTTTAGTTTTGTTCAAGGCTGATTCAATCAATGAATACAGTGGTGTGAGTGGAATAGCTTACTTCTTAATGAGCTTTAGAATATCGACTGGAAGTTATTAATTAGCTGATTATCAGAACTAAGACAACACATTAGTTATTTTCTCTTGGATATTATGGATTTTCGCAGTTCTTACTCTCAATATTGTGTTCATGAACTTTATCATTGCTGTGATTTCTGAATCCTATGAAATTGCGATGCAGCATATCATAGCTTAATCTTATTAAGTGAAAGCTAAAATGATTGCAGAGAGAGAAGCATTATTTTCCTAATATGATTTATCTAATTAGGATTTTTTCCCCAACTATTTAGTGGTAAGAAGATTAAGTAACAATGAAGTTAATGAGGTTGGAGAATGGCAAGGATTTATTGCAGATCTTAAAAGCACAATTAGATCAACTATTTCCAAGTCTAAGAGCGAAATAATTCAAAATCATTCCTTAGAGCTCTCCTGCCTTCAAAAATAATTTGGTGAATTCCAAAAAGAGGAGTTTGTTTAATTAAAATAAGAGATAAAACAGGAAATTGAATCTAAAGTTTAAGGGCTAAAAGAGGATATGGATTTCTTAAAGTCTTCCATCTCCTAAATATTACAAAAACTAAACAATTGATCAACTTATGTTTGACGATTATTGTATAACTGATTATAACTCCGCAATCAAACTTAAAATAAAATTTAAAAACTCCAGATTTTGTTATTTTTATATTATTTTTGAGATTCTTTGATTAATTTGCCATTTTAACTTTAGGGGTTTTGGGGTTTTGGGGTTTTGGGG